AAGCTTGTGTGTTTTTTTTAATTTTCCCTGTCGGTGCAGTAACACACTCACGTGGCACGGAGCTCAGCAGGCCCCGCAGCGTGCACAGGAAGGCCCCTCCCTCCCGCCCAGCCACAGATCCCCAGGTCCTCTCCCCAGGGCAGCCGCGTTCCCAGTTCTCGGGTGTCGGGTCAGGGTGTGCATGGCACAGACACACACAGAGCTCCTTTCTTTGCACGCAGGTGGCGCCCTGTGTCCCTTGCTGTTGGTCTCCGATTGTCATAGTTCAGTATCAACACGTGAGACTTTCTCGTCGTCGCTCACAATACCCCATTGTCAGGAGGTGCCTCGTGTCCTTCAGCCAGAGCTCCTGGTGGCCACGAAGGTGTGTCGTGCTGGTGCAGGGAGCACGGGGCCCAGCGCACTCTGCTCACTCACCGGGGGCAGGAGCACTAGTCGGGGGGTATATGCTTTGGCCTTTAAAATTTTTTTTTAATCCTCACCTGAGGATATTTTCCTGTTGATTTTAGGGAGAGTGGAAGGGAGAGGGAAAGACAGAGAAACATCCATGTGAGAGAAACACATCGATGGGTTGCCTCCTGCAGGTGCCCCGACCAGGGCCCGGGCCAGGGAGGAGCCTGCAACCCAGGTACGTGCCCTTGACTGGAATTGAACCCGGGACCCTCTGGTCTACAGGCTGATGCTCTATCCACTGAGCCACACCGGCCATCCTGATGGCTCTTGCCAGGTGCACCTCCATGGAGGGCCTGCCCACACCGCTCTCCGCGGGCAGTGCCACTGTCCACCCCCCACCAGGTCTGTGCTACTGCGTGTGATCTCTGCCAGTTCGATGAGGGGAACCATTTCTCTCTACTTCCCCCCAGAACTTCGTGGTTCACGTTATAGGGAAGTTACAGAGCAGCAGGACACGCCCAGCGCAGGTTGGTTGGTGTGTCCCCGGCTGCCTGGGCTGGAGGCCGTTTCCGTTTCCGTTTCCGTCTGTGGAGGAGCGGGCGGCCCTCGGCCCGTCCGTCGGACTTCGGCTTCTAATGGGTTTTGTCGACGTTGTTTCTGGAGAAGCTTTGTGCTCCCTGGGCTCGAGGTTCCCTGGGGCTGAGAAGGAGGTAAACACGTGGTTGGAGTCGGTGTCTCACATGCAAACACACACGCAGGGCCATGCGGCGCCCGCAGTGGGATCTGCTCTGAGAAATGCGTCCTTAGGCGATGGCGTTGCTGCGCGTGTCAGTGTGACGGGCACAGACCTGCGTGTGCCACGGCCGAGTCCTGTCGGCAGCCGTCTCCAGTGCACGTGTTTGTGCGTCTGAGTGTGTCTGAGCCCAGACAAGACAGTGCAAATGTGATTCAGGAGTGAGTGGGTTCGCCTGGACGCGGCGCCCACCGCGAGGGGCTTGCGGGACTGGGAGTTGCTCTGGTGCGTGTGTGTGTGTGTGTGTGTGTGTGCGCGCGAGGGAGTGAATGTCAAGGCCTGGACATGCTGGACCCGTCCGCAGACTATAACGCTGCCCACAGCTCGGCCCCGCCTCCGCCGACAGTCGGGAACGGCACACGGACGCTGTCCCTGTGCTCCATGGGCGGGGGGCTGGGACGCTGAGACAGGCTGCCACGGTGTGGACGCCACAGTCCTGGCTGCCGGAGGGAGTGGCCCGAGGCGCCACTCAGATGGAGCGAGAATGGAGCCTGGAGGGTGGCCGTGGCACCTGCTCCCTGGGCAGGGGTCAGACAGGGGCTTTGTGGTCCTCAGAGCAGAGGCGTGGACGCGGAGGTGCAGACCCGGGGGCTCAGCCGTCCGCCTCCAGCGGAGCTCTGTGTCCTCACAGCTGAGGGAGCCTCGCGCAGCACGCAGTGTGCCTCTCTTAACCCATTCAGCTACTCTGTGCCTTTTGATTCGAGAATTGGATGTATTTAGATTTAAAGTCATTGTTGATCGTTAAGGCCTTAGTCCTGCCATCTCGCGCTCTGGCTGTCTTGTAAGTTTCTTTTTTGCTGTCTTTATGAATTGATAACTTTCAATCAATTGAATGTTTTGGTTCCTTTCTCTTTATCTCTTGTGTAGCTGCTATATTTTTTCTTTTGTGGTTACCATGAGTTACACAGAACATCTATAGTTGCAACAATCTATTTTAAGTTAAGACCTTAATTTTACAAAAAGTCTCTGTTTTTTATCACCCATAGATGTCAAAATTTACATTTTAAAAATATGTTTTTACTGATTTTATTTTTTAAATAGATTTTTATTGATTTCAGAGAGGAAGGGAGAGGGAAAGGGAGAAGAAACATCCATGATGAGAGAGAATCATGGATCGGCTGCCTCCTGTACACCCCACTCTGGGGATGGAGCCCACAACCGGGCCTGTGCCCTTGACTGGAATCAAACCCCAAACGCTTCAGTCTGCAGAGCCAAGCCAGATAGGGCACAGTTTACGTTTTTATATTGTGTCTCCATTAACAACTTACTGTAGCCGTAGTGATTTCCAACACTTTGTCCTTTAACTTTTACCTGAAAGTGGTTAGCGCACCAGCATGTAATGCCGGGTAGCGCTGTGTCGGCCACCAGGCCCTGCACGCGAGGCTGGTCTCGGAGGTCACGATGGGTATGAGCAAACGGTTTGTCATGTTGTAGGTAAAGGCCCGGCCGCGCCGCGAGGTTGGGTTTGCTGCCAGCTGTGGGCGTCTCACGGACCAGGCTCAGCTTCTGTTCACCTGTGCGGGACCGGGAGTTGTGAGGGAGTGAGGGAGGGCTGGAGAGGAGGGTGCCCGGGAGTGCCCCCCTGCTGGGCATGCGTATGTGTGTGTGTGTGTCCGTGTGTCCGTCCCTCCTTCCCTCCCTCCCCGTCCCTTTCATTATTTCTCAAGTTTAGCTCTCTGGGTCTCTTTTGATCTCTGCTCTCTCCCTCTCCCTCCTTCCCTCCTCCTGATCTCCCGCTGACAGCGCCTCCCTCCTCAGCCCTCCCCGTGCTCCCCAGTGCGCACACACACACACACACACACACACACTCTCACACTCACACTTTGTCTTCTATACCATGTATTTACTGTACCTTTTCTGTGTTTGGGTAGGTTTACATCCACAAATACTTGCCGTTGTGTTGCAATTGCCTACAGCGTTCAGTCCGATAACCTGCCGTGCAGGTTTGCAGGAGGAGCTGGGCTGTCTAGAGCAGCGGCCTGGTGTGCCCTGGGCGGCCTCTCGCTTGTGTAAGTGCATCCGATGTTGACGCAGTGACGCAATCCCGTCGCTAAGCAACGCATGACTTGACGATGTCCTCACCTTGACGGGCGTCCACATTTTCACGTCGTCCCGAGCTCGAAGGGCTCCTCCCAGGTTCCCCTCGGGCAGGTCGCGTGCGGCGGAGCCGTCGGAGCTCTGGTTCCGTCGGGGAAGGTCGTTCCCCGGTTTCTGGAGGCCGCCTTGCGGGGAGAGTGGGCGTGTGATGTTTGCTGTGAACAGGTCGCCCACCCTCTCGGGCCCACGGGCTGCTGAGGCCTCTGCTTGGAGGGTTTTCTTCTCTTGCTCTGAGAAGTGAGGGTGAACAGTCTTGAAACAGATGGAAAATTAGACGTAAACTTAACATTAGAAATTTCATGACGAAAACGAAATAGAATTCGTTGAGTGGAGTCACCGCAGAAGGGAGCGGAGAGAGGAGTGTTTAACTTGGAGATGGAGCAACAGGAACTGCCGGTCTGGCCCGCGGGGATGGCGATTAACGAGAGAAAACGACCAGCACAGGCCTCTCCCGTGAAGTCCGCGAGGCGGAGAGGGGCTGTGGGAAGGGGGAGGGAGTCTGTGTGCAGGCAGCCATTTCTGAAGACGAGGAAGATGGTGGGACCCTGAGGGCAGAGACCGGGCTGGTCCGAGGGCCGGGGCTGGAAAAGCTTCCCGTCTTCAGGGAGAGGCAGGGAGAGGGAGAGCCGCCGGTGGTGAGAGCATCACAGACGCTGCCTCCGGCGCGGCCCCCACTGGGGAGCAAGCCTGCAACCCGGGCCTGTGCCCCGACCGACCGACCGGGAATCAAACCGCGACCTCCCGGTTCACAGGTCGTCGCTCAGCCATGGGCCTCGGGGACCCTCTTGCGGGTCTGTCTCCACAGGGTCTCTTCTGAGTGTGTGTTTCCCTGTTGGGGACAGAAGGGGGTCGGGCACAGGAGCAGACGGTCCGAGTCCCGCGTCCGCCAGGTGGGGAGCAGTGGCTGCGGGTGAGCCTGTGCCCAGCTCTGCTCCCGCCCTGGCCCTGGCGTGCTGCACTGACCCTGAGAAGGTGGCCGGAGGGGACGTGGCAGTGCGTGTGCGCGGAGGCTGTGCCTGCAGGGAGGGAGGGCTGCCTGCGGCCACTCGCTCTGCGTCTCCTGGCCCTGACACTGCTGAGCGTCGGCTCTTTGGCCCGAGTTTGCCTCCGGAGCCTCCGGAGCCAGGACACGTGTCTGAGCAGGTTCCTGCGCACCGACCGCAGCCAGGACCCGGGACAGAGCAGCGGGTTTCACGCTGAACTCGGGTGGGGAGCGCCGTGAGGAAGGGGTTCTGGGTCCCACGGACCCCGGGCCCCCCGAGTTTCCTGCTCGGATTGGTCAGTTTAAGGGTGTCCGCTCGGAGGCAGCAGATCTGGGCTTTGGCTCCCACGCGAAGGAGGGTTTGCTGGGACACGGGGTGCGGCACAGGGTGTGGCACGGGGTGCGGCATGGCTGGAAGAAGCGGGGAGCTCGTCCTCAGAAGGGACCAGCGCCCGAGCCCCCACCCTCCTCCGGGGAGGGACCCCTGGGGGCGAATGAGGCCCCCGTCCAGGTCCCCTCCTTCCTGCACAGAAGTCAGACCCCGGGGGGAGGCCCCAGCCTGCGGGCAGGGCGGCCTGAGTCCCTCCAGGCCAGGCCCCGAGAGGCGGGTCCCCTGCGCCACGGCTGCTCCTCAGAGGGGGGCGCGGGGCTGTCGGCTGGAGGGGGCCGTCAGGCGGCTGTGGGTGCTTTCCTGGGGGGCTGACCCCGCCGGACATGCTTGACCCGTGAGTCCCTGCCGGTGGGGCCAGCCCTGCCCGAAGGTTTCCCCAAAGGTGCTCTCGTCTGACCTGCGCACAGAGAGGGCGGCGGGAGGCGATGGCCTCACACACGAGCCGCCCTGGTCCCCGCGGGGCCACGCCCGGGGGAGCGCCTGTCCCTCCCCCGGCACTGCCCCTCCCAGCCACCCCCTTGCTCACTGCTTCCCCTCCCCCAGGGCAGATGGTGGCCGCCAGCCCCGGGCAGCGCCTGCCGGCTGACCCCTGCGCACGCCCGGGATGGCAGCGAGGTGACCTGTGCTGAGGATGACCCTGACTGACAGGCTGCGTGAGAAGATCTCGCTGGCCTTCTACCGCCACGGGCTGCTCTGCGCCTCCCACCCCGTCCCCATCACCCTCTTCACGGGGCTCTGCATCCTCGCCTGCTGGTACGTGCCCGGGCCGGGGCGGGCGGTGTGGGGCAGCCCTCAGCCCGCGCGTCCGCGGGAACCCACTCCGAGGTCGTGCTAGGCACGTGCCTGGCTCAGGTTCCCTCTCACAGCGACGGTCTCTTCTGGTGCCGGGTAACAGCGGGGCCTCCAGTCTGCCAGGCGAAGTCCTTTCAGGTGGTGATGGTGGGGGCTGATCCCACCGCGTGTTTTCCCGTTGGCTTTTAGAGAGAGTGGGAGGGAGGGGAGACAGAGAGAGACACATCGATGGTTGCCTCCCTCACACCCGACTGGGGCCTGGCGATCGAGCCTGCAACTGAGGTGCATGCCATTTGACTGGGATCGAACCCAGGACCCTTCCGCCCGCAGCCGACGCTCTATCCACTGAGCCACACCGGCCGGGCGCACAGTCCATTTGATCAGCTCCTCGGGCGCCCCCTGGCAGACCTGCTCACCCAGGACTGCGGGGAGAGCGTGGCTGCCCCCCCAGGCCGGGGATGGGGACATGGTGAGAGGAGAGGCCCTGAGACACGGCTGCAGGAAAGGAGCCGCCCCTGGCGTCCCGGTGTGTCTGACACGCGTGGTGCTGGCGGTGCCCTCACTGCTCCAGCTGAGGAGGCAGGTTCTTCCCAGGTGGACGGGGATGCGCGTCCTCCCTGGGAGGGTCCTGCTGGCGCTCGGGCATCTGTGGCCGGTGTCCTCCGGCCTCGGCAGCCGGGGCAGTGGTCCTGGCAGCTCCCACGGCACCAGAGAGGGGAGGCCCAGGCTGGTCCGGTCCACACAGCCCGTGAGCAGGGGAGCCGTGCCGGTCCAGCCTCGGGCCCTGGCCCGCCCTCCGGCAGCGCCGACTCCCGGCAGCTCAGCGCAGGGCGCAGACGTGTACACTGTTCATTGCGTGTTGGCGGGAAGGCCTGGGAGAGGCCCCAGGAGTCGCCTCTAACAAGTCCCGGGGGCCTGGGGGCCACACGCTGTGCCTTCCTCGAGGACCTCGGACGTTCTGCCCGGCTCCATTAGAGCGTTTTCTCTGGATTCTGTTGCGGCAGCGGCCGTTGGCGGTGGCCTCGGGGACGGTGGCTCGGCTGCCTGTGGTTGGCGTGGGGTCTGGCCCCCTCTGAGCCCCGTTCCTCTGTGGCCTTCCCGCCTCTGCACGGGGTGAGAGGTCACGCGTGGTGGCCAAGGGCCTGAACGGGACTCGAGCGCGTGTCTGTGGGCAGTTGAAGGTGAAGGAGGGGTGCTGTGACCCTTCCCCGAAGGCCGCTCTGGCCGCTGAGGGAGGGGCTTCCCCTGTGCAGTCGCCATCTGGGCTGGGTGTTGCCGGCAGCGAGTGCGGCAGCTGCTGATTCAAAGGGGGGAGGCCCGGTCCAGGCTTTGGGACGGGACTTCCTGTGGCAGGTGATGCACACAGAGCCTGGGCGGGGAGAGACCTGGGAGCTGGGCCGAGCGCAGAGCGCGTCCCACACCTGGCGGGGGGAGCGCGGCTCCGGGCAGGTGGGGGGACCGTGGGCTTTTCCTGACATTTCACCCCCAAGGGTGGACTCCTGGACTCACAGCGTCTGCCCCGTCCCAGACCTGGACAGGCCTTCGGGGAAAGTGAACGAGAACACACAGAGCTTGAAGTAAAAGGACGGAAAACGTAACCAAGAGGAGCTGGAGGCGTAGCCGCCCTGACGACCTAGGGAGGCTCCGTGCACACAGGGCTGTGTGTCCTGTGAAATGAGTTTAGAAATTCCCATCTGCACCCGCCGGCCGGGCTCAGGGGTTGAGCGTCGACCTATGAACCAGGAGGTCACGGTTCGATTCCCGGTCAGGGCACCTGCAGGGTTTCGGGCTCGATCCCCAGTGTGGGACGTGCAGGAGGCAGCCGATCCAGGATGCTCTCTCATCACTGATGTTCCTCTCTCTCTCTTTCTCTCTCTCCCCCTTTTCCTTCTTCTCTGAAACCAATAAAAATATATTTTTTAAAAAATAAATAGAAAAAAGAATTCCTGCCTGGGTGGCTCCCTGTCCGCGTGTGCAGTCCTGCGGGGTTCGGAGCAGCTGCGGGGGCTCGGCGCCCGTCCTCGCTCCGTCGTGTCCTAACTCCCTCTCCTCCTGCCCCTCCAGCTACCCACTGCTGAAGCTCCCCCTGCCGGGGACGGGCCCCGTGGAGTTCACCACCCCCGTGAAGGACTACTCGCCCCCGCCCGTGGCCCCGGATCCCACGCCAGGAGAGCCGAGCGAGCGGCCCGAGTGGGTAGGTGCTGGTGCCGACTGCCGGGGCCGGGGTGAGAGGAGAGTGACGGGAAGACCAGTCTTGCTGACCTCGGAGGCGGTGGGCCGTGCAGCCGGGGGACGGGGCGGGGAGGGGGGTGGGGGAGGAGAACTGGAGGAGCTGCAGCTCACAGGCTCGTGGCCGACACCTCGCTGGGGTCCTGTGTTTGGTCCTCACAGTGTCCGGGGCTGGAGATTCTCGTCTCGTTTCCGCAGTGAGTCAGGGCCCAGCCTGGTGCGTGTGGAGACCGAGTCCCAGGCCCCAGCGGGGGCGGAGCCAGAGGTGGAGCCCAGGAGGGTCCCGAGCCTGCCCGGCCGGGACACGGGCCAGGCCTGTGCCCAGACAAGCTGAGTCCCGGCTCCTTGTGCCGTGGGTCAGGGTGAGGGTCTGTGTCCAGAGCTCTAGGTCGCTCTGGGTAAATGTGAGGAAGGATTGTGTTCTAGAAAAAAGGAAAACAAAACAAGCCTGCGGGCTCCGGCACTGGCCTGGCTCCCCCAGACCAGGTCAACCGAAACCTGAGCCTCCTGCGAGCCCTGCCTAGGAGGTCGGAGCCTGGATGTGGGCTTTCCCAGGGGCCTGGGTGACCTGCCTCACGCGTCAGCCGGGCCTGGGACGCCTGAGCCTTGGCTTCTTATCTGCGGCCTCGGCTCAGGGTCTCGCAGTCAGGGCGGCCAAGGCTGCCGGGGCTGAGGGAGCCCCTCCCGGTGCTGGCGCAGGCCCCGCGTCCTGGCCTTGCGTCCTGGGCAGCTCCCCATGCGCCCACCTCACAGAGTGGGGGCTCCAGGGGGCGGAGGAGACAGGTTATTTTTTCTTCCAATTTTTAAAATTGTGCATCTTAACACATTTCGTACCGCTCAGGAGTTTTCTCGTGTTTCGCGCGCCATCTGTTAAGGACCGCTCACCAGTGTTCTCGTTTTTCACGCCCACGGAAAAAGGAGCGGATCTAGATACTTATGTAAATTTTGTTTGGTCCCTCTTCATAGAGGAGAATGTTTTACGCAGGACCATACGTTAAAAAAGTAAAAAGTACTAGGAACTTTAATTGTTTAATTGTTTTTGTAAATAAAAATGTTATAATTATTGAAAAACAACACCTAAAGTGCATTATGATGATTTAAATAACGTGCAGTTTGCCCAAAAACGTGCGGTCCCTGGCGTATGTCTTAGCGATTTCTATGCGGTAAGAAATGTGTTAACAATAAATGTAGCGTCTTAACCATCTTTACGCGTCCAGTTCAGTGGCATTAAACACATTCTCGCTGCGGTGTGCCCAGCACCGCCGCCCGCGTGGCTCCCTTCCTCTCGTAAAACAGAAACTGTCCCTAAACAGGGCGCCGCCTCCCCCCCAGCCCTGCAGCCACCTTCTCTCTGTCTCGGCGAAACGGGCGCTCAGAGCCTCGGGTGGGGATCAGACATGCTGTCCCCCCGCGGACGCCCACGTTTAAACTGTAGGTTTCTATCAGCTCAGAGAGGAAGGGAGAGGGAGAGAGAGAAACATCCATGATGAGAGAGTCATGGATCGCTGCCTCCTGCACGCCCCCCACTGGGGAACGAGCCCGCAACCTGGCATGTGTCCTGACTGGGAATCGAACCCTGACCTCCTGGTTCATAGGTCAACGCTCAGCCACTGAGCCACGCCGGCCGGGCCTGGACGCCTTCGTTTCTGCTCAGCCCGAGGTGGACCGGCGGCGCCTCTGGCGCACTGACCTCTGGCGCCCGTCTCTCCGCAGTACGTGGGCCCCCCGGTGGCGTACGTCCAGCAGATCTTGGTCAAGTCCTCGGTGTCGCCCTGGCACAAGGACCTCCTGGCCCGTGGACGTGTTCCGCTCCCCTCTGTCCCGGGCCTTTCCAGCTGGTGGAGGAGATCCGGAAACCACGTGCTGAGAGACAGGTACCCCGGGCGCCCCAGCCCAGCCCAGCCCCGCTGTGGGGAGGCGGGCGTGTCCTCGGTGCCACCACAGAGCCAGCAGCTCTGCAAGGCCCCGCACCCGCGCTCCTGTGGCTGCGCCTGCGCCTGAGCTTGGGCCTGGGTGTCAGGCAGAGGGGGTGGCCCCTGGCCCACCCGCGAGGAGCTGCCTGAGGGCCGGTGACGCGTCTCCGTGCTCTACCTGGGGAGGCGCGGCTGAAGCCGCAGGTGTTGGCAGCAGGGGCTCTGGCGGCCCTGGGTGCATGGAGCCCGCTCTTCCCCTCGCCCCTCTGCCCCCTGGGTGGGCCAGGCGTCTTGGTGGGCGGGGCTGCGCACGCCCGGCCAGCCTGTCAGGTGATCAGCCTTTGGGCTCCACACGCTTGGAAGGTCCGACCCCCACGTGGCTGTCGCCCTGGAGGAGCCTTTCCTGGCTGCCTGACCTCGGGCTCAGACACCGGCGTCTGGGGACCGGATGGCACGGGGCCGCCAGGCGTGGGCCTGCCCGTGTCGGCACACGTGCCTCCCTTCCCTGCCAGCTCTGGGGCCAGGAGCCTGGAGGAGGTGTGCCTGCAGGTGACCGACCTGCTGCCAGGCCTCAGGAAGCTCCGGAACCTGCTCCCCGAGCACGGCTGCCTGCTGCTGTCCCCCGCCAACTTCTGGCAGAATGACCGCGAGCGCTTCCACGCCGACCCCGACATCATCGCGACCATCCACCAGCACGAGCCCAAGACCCTGCAGACCTCAGCCACGCTCAAAGGTGCCTCGGGCGTCGCCACCAGCCCTGCGATGGGTGCTCGGAGGTCAGGGGCCGCCCTCGTGCCAGGTGGAGGTGGGGAGGCCTTGGTCAGCGCCTGCTGGTTTCTCCCTGCAGATCTGCTGTTTGGGGTCCCCGGGAAGTACAGCGGGGTGAGCCTGTTCGCGAGGAAGAGGATGGCCACCTACACCATCACCCTGGTCTTCCGGCGCTACCACGCCAAGTGAGCCGCGGGCGCCACGAAGCTGGGGTCCCTGTTCCGGGCGGCGTCCAGGCGCCCCTGACGTGCAGGACCCGGCTGCCTGTGGAGTTTATCCCTCAGGCTGCGGGTCCGTCTGCTCGCGGTGGGGGGTCCAGAGTAAGGGGCTAAGGCCGGGCTGGCAAGCCCGGTGTCCTGGTGCCCCCAGCAGTCTCTCTGGAGCGGAGGGCCGGCCCCCCAGCTGCTCACCCCCGGGCCCCCTGGGGCTTGGCGTCCTCCAGCAGCACTGCAGCGGCCCCAGAGGCCAGGACATGGAGCTCCTCCGGCTACTTCTCTGGGGCCTGGGCGTGGGCCTGGGCACTGGGTGGGCCAAGGGCTGGTACCGACTCGAGGAGGGAAGCTTTGCTGGGCCCCTCGCAGGGGTTGTCCTTGTCCCCTGGACCGTGAGGGACAGCCCTCCCCCCCTCCCCCCCCGTGCCAGGTTCCTGAGCAGCCTGCGGGCCCGCCTGATGCTCCTGCACCCCAGCCCCAACTGCAGCCTGCGGGCCGAGAGCCTGGTGCACGTGCACTTCAAGGAGGAGATCGGCGTCGCCGAGCTCATCCCGCTCGTGACCACCTACATCATCCTGTTCGCCTACATCTACTTCTCCACGCGTAGGTCCTGCCTCGCGGGCTTGTCCCCGGCCTCTCGGGGGCCCGGGGCTCTGCGGGCTCCTCAGCAAAAGGCCCTGTGTCCCTGGGGTGGGATGTACGTGCTGTCCTTTCCTTTGGTGAAACCTGTCACAGTCGGGACACTCCTCGCAGCTCCTCCAGGGCTGTGGGAGGGTCGGGAACATGCCCCTCACGTGCCCTCTGCCCTCCAGGCAAGATCGACATGGTCAAGTCCAAGTGGGGGCTGGCTCTGGCCGCTGTGGTCACGGTGCTCAGCTCGCTGCTCATGTCTGTGGGGCTCTGCACACTCTTCGGCCTGACGCCCACCCTCAACGGCGGGTAGGTCCCCAGCAGGCTCCCCTGGCCACAGGGGGGTCCTTGGGCGAGACAGTGCCCCTCTGGTCGGCCCGGGACTGGGCACGTTGTTGCTTTGACATTTAAGAGGAATATTTTTTCCTCGTTAAGTTACCTGGCTTGTAGTCATATGTAAATAAATGGCATGTGTGTGTATGTACATGCATGTATATGTTGATGCATATGGGATCTCTTTTATATATGTAAAAGCCTAAGTGACCTTCCGACCGGTAGCTATGGCGTGCACTGACCACCAGGGGGCAGACGCTCAACACACAGTCATGGAAACATGGAACAGTCTGATGAATCTCAGAGGGGAGGGGGCAGGGGGGAGGGCAGGAAGAGATTAACCAAAGATCTTATATGCATACTAGAGGCCCGATGCATGGATTCGTGCACCGGTGGGTCCCTTGGCCTGGTCTGCAGGGATCGGGCTGAAACTGGCTCTCCGACATCCCCTGAGGCGTCCCAGATTGTGAGAGGGCGCAGGCCTGGCCGAGGGACCCCACTGGTGCACCGGGCCCCTAGAGTATTTATGTGCGTGTATGTTGGTGCATGGATATGTATGACTATGTCTGCATTGTGTGTGTGCATACGTGTGGGTGTGTTTGTGCACTTACGTGCATACTTGCGCGTACTGCTCCTGGATGGCGTGAGCACGGGTGGTCTCAGAGAGAAGCATGCTCTCTGCCTTTTTCCTGTTAGAACATGTAAAGCCTGGTAAGAAGGGTCTTTCACAGTGAGGTTCTGAAGAGGTGCAAGCACCTCTAAGCTGTCACCTGGCCCTTTCCCTGCCCCTGGGCCGGGCCCCTCCCTGGGTTTGCCCTCAGGCTGCGGCTCCTTGGCCCTGACCCAGCAGCCCCCGACCCGGCCGCCCCCGACCCGGCCGCAGAAACAGGGCGTCTGTGTTTCCTGTTACTTTCCCTGCTCACAGATCAGCTTCGTCTTGAACCTGCTGGTGCTAACCTCCCGCTTCCGCTGTAGTGTCGGCTGCGCCCGCAGAGCCCCTCCAGGCCCCACAGCAGCAGCCCTGGGCCCTGGAGGCTCCCCTCGCGGCCAGGCCACCCGGCAGCCTCCCCTCCTGCCGGCCTCAGTGGTGTGGCTGGGGTCTCCCCCTTCCTCAGTCCTGGGCCTGGCTGAGGGGTGGGGCCGTGGCCGGGCCCCCGGCCAGCAGGGCCTGGTGCGGGAAGGACAGGGAGCGCCCTCTGCGGTGCTGGGTGGTGGGAATGCGCGCCCCCTGCCCTGTGCTTCTGGGGGTTGCTCAGCACCCCCACCACAGGCTGCACACCCCACCGCTGCCCTGACGCCGGCCCAGGCCTGTAGAGCTGGCTGCGTGTTGGGGCTCAGCGCTCTCCCACCCTCTCCGCCCTCCCGCCCAGCGAGATCTTCCCCTACCTGGTGTGGTGATCGGGCTGGAGAACGTTCTGGTGCTGACCAAGTCCGTGGTCTTCCACGCCTGTGGACCTGGAGGGGAAGCTGCGCATCGCCCAAGGTACAGGGCAAGGGGGGGGGGGGGACGGGGCGGGCGGTGCTGGCTCTTCCTCCGGGGCCACGGGTCCTGCCGTGGGAGACGGGTCCTGGTTCATGTGTCTGTGAGGAGCCGGCCGGACTCTGCGGCTCTGGGTTTGCTCGGCCTTGTCCAGGCTGGACCCTCCTGCCTCCTCCAGGCTCGGGCTCCTCAGCGGCAGGAGCTGGGGTCTGGGTTTTGGGGAAACAGGCGCCCAGGCCCGGAGGCCTCAACGCTTGTGACCCCTCTTCTCATCCCCACACCTGGGGGCCAGGGCTGGGGGCTGTTCACCCCGCAAACCTGAGGGTCTGGGGAGCCGGGCCCTGTGCCAGATGTGGTGCCGCGGAGGTTCGGGAAGTGGCCCCACCCAGAGCCGCTCTGCCCGTGGCAGGCGGGCATTCACCCCGTGCAGGGGTGGCAGCACCTGGGCCCGGGCTCCGGCAGCCTGAGGGTGGGCACTGGGGGCGTGGCTGCCTCCGGAGGCTGGGCCCCTCCCCCATCGCTACCCTCGAGGACCATGGGCCCTGCTGTCCCCGCAGGCCTGAGCTGTGAGGGCTGGTCCATCATGAAGAACATGGCCACGGAGCTGGGCATCATCCTCATCGGCTACTTCACCCTCGTGCCCGCCATCCAGGTGAGGCCCGGCCGCGCTCCGCCCGCTGTGAGCCAAGCACCGGGCGCCCCAGTGCAGGCAGCTCCCGGGACGGGGAGCCCAGCTGGGCTGTGGGTCGCGCTCCCAGCATGTCTCTGCCTATGACCTTGTCCTCTCTGTCATTCAGCCGTGGGCAGGCGGGCTCGGGGGCACCGGCCGGCGGCTGGCTCTGCCAACCCAGGCAGACCTGGTCTCGAATGGGTCCCCTCCTTCCTGACCCACACCGGCAGCCCCTAGTCACGTCCCCCCATGTCGTTGGAGGGCCACCCCCCGTTGCCCAGAGTGGCCCTGCTCTTGGCACAGTGCCCTCGCTCAGCAGTGGGGCGGTGGGCAGGGGTGGGCAGCCCTGCAGAGTCGGAGCCGCCTGCTGCTGACCATTCGGGGGGAGAGGCAGGAAGGGGGACGCAGCACGTCCGGGTCCTGTGCAGTCCCCGGCATTGGAGCTGACGTGGCCACTGCGAGGCTCTGCCGGATCCTCCTGGGGGCGTGCTGAGGCCTCACACGAGGGCAGGGAGGACTTAACCCAGGACATCCCCCCCCTCCCCCTCCCCCCGGCCCAGTGCAGCTGTGGCGGGGCCTTTCTGAGCCCTGAGAGGGGCTCTGAGCTCCCAGCTTGGATCAGACTCCGCGAGGTTCATGGAGAAAGACCTGGGTCTCTGCTGCCCCCTGGTGGGCAGGGAGGCGCCCGCACTGCCCCTGCTTGGCCGGGCCCAGACCCGGAAGGACTGCGGCTCCGCTGCCGCCTGGGGCTGTGCAGATGGTGAGGTGCCTGCGGGCTGGGCAGGGACCGCTGGGCCCTGAGGTCACGGGCCGTTCTGATTCCAGGAGTTCTGTCTCTTTGCCGTCGTGGGCCTGGTGTCCGACTTCTTCCTTCAGATGCTGTTTTTCACCACCGTCCTGTCCATCGACATTCGCAGGATGGAGGTAGGAGTGGGTCCCGCCCTCCTGGGCCCTGGCTGAGCTCCCAGGGTCTCTGGGTGAGGTGTGACCTCGGGGCTGCTGCCCGGCAGCTCACGGCCACGGGGACAGCTCCCACTGACCACTGTGCCCACAGCTGGCGGACCTGAACAAGCGGCTGCCCCCCGAGGCCTGCCTGCCTCCTGCTAAGCCAGGGGGGCGCCCCGCGCGCTTTGAGCGGCAGCTGGCGGTGCGGCCGGCCACGCCCCACACCGTCACACTGCAGCCGTCCTCCTTCCGGAACCTGCGGCTCCCCAAGAGGCTGCGCGTCGTCTACTTCCTGGCTCGCACCCGCCTGGCACAGCGGCTCATCATGGTACCTTCCCCGGCCCTGCCCTGCGCTTTGCCTTAGAGTTGGGGAGGGGGCCTCCTCTTCCGCCCAAACCCGCTTCCCAGGTGAACAGCTGGTCTCGGGGGGCAGCAGCCCTGGGGCATCAGGGGCAGGGGTTGTGACCCCGGGCGGGAGCCAGCCCTGCTCCCAGTTAGGGTTCATCGCTGCTGGTCGTGTGTGGGCATCGGGAACGCTGGGCGGGTGGAGCAGATGGGCCTCCCCAGGGAGTGAGGTGAGGACAGGGCCTGTGGGTGGCCCTGCAGCAGGCCCGGCCTCGTCCCTCTTGCCGCTGACCCTGGGAATGGTCGCAGCTGAGATGGGGGCTGGCCTGCTGCTCGGTTTCCAGGCCAGGCCACCCAGCCCTGAGCACGGAGAGGGAACTGGGTCCCCGGGGCAGTTGGCCCAGATGGTAGTGGGGCTTGGGGGGCAGAGAGGCCATGTCCTCTCCCCGATGCCTGAGGTCCCTGTGCTGCCGCCTCTGGCAGGAGGGCCAGGCATGTGGTGTGGGGCTGCCCCTTGCGCCCAGAGCCCTGGCTGAGCACCCCGTGCCCCCTACAGGCAGGCACCGTGGTCTGGATCGGCATCCTGGTGTACACAGACCCGGCTGGACTGCGCATCTACCTCGCGGCCCAGGTGACGGAGCAGAGCCCGCTGGGCGAGGGCGCCCTCACTCCCGTGCCTGTGCCTGGAGGCATGCTGCCCGCCAGCCACCCGGACCCCGCCTTCTCCATCTTCCCACCGGACGCCCCCAAGTTCCCTGAGAACCACACGTTGCCAGGGGAGATGCCCGAGTCCGGGGGTCTGGCCGAGGGCGTCCCTGACAGCCCCGCCCCCGAGGTCACCTGGGGGCCCGAGGACGAGGAGCTGTGGAGGAAGCTGTCCTTCCGCCACTGGCCGACGCTCTTCGGCTACTACAACATCACGCTGGCCAAGAGGTGGGTCGGGCTGCGTGCACCCTCCCCGGCGGTGTCAGCCCACCGTCCCCAGAGCGTCCCTTGCCCCTCGAGGGGGGAACCCCCTGGTTTGAATGCTGTTTCCTGGCCGGCTGCGCGGGCACTGGTGTCTGTGACGAGCAAGGCTGAGGGGCCAGGGCTGGGCTGGGGAGGGGCCTCCTGGCTGAAGCTGCCCCCGGCCCTGTCCAGGTACATCAGCCTGCTGCCCATCATCCCCGTCACGCTCCGCCTGAACCCCAAGGAGGCCCTGGAGGGGCGGCACCCTCAGGACGGCCGGAGCGCCTGGGCCCCCGCTGCAGCCCAGGCCTGGCGGGGCTCTGGGAGGCCGGCCCCCAGGGGCCAGGTGTGGCGCAGACCCACGGAGACGTCACCCTGTACAAGTAAGGCCCGAGCGGGACGGCTGCCCGGGACTGGCCTGGGCGCACCTGACCCGCCTCTCCGCAGGGTGGCTGCGCTCGGCCTGGCCGCCGGCATCGTCCTGGTCCTGCTGCTGCTCTGCCTGTACCGTGTGCTCTGCCCGCGCAACTACGGGCAGCAGGGCGGCGGGCCGGGCCGGCGGCGCCGCGGAGACCTGCCCTGTGACGACTACGGCTACGCGCCCCCCGAGACGGAGATCGTGCCCCTGGTGCTGCGTGGGCACCTCATGGTGAGTGCGGTGCCTCGGCCGGCGGCCCCTGCCTCCGTGCCCGTGCCCGTGCCCATGGCCGTGCTGTGCCCACAGGACATCGAGTGCCTGGCCAGTGACGGCATGCTGCTGGTGAGCTGCTGCCTGGCGGGCCACGTGTGCGTGTGGGACGCACAGACCGGGGACTGCCTCACGCGCATCCCTCGCCCCAGGTAGGTGTCTGTCACAGTCAGGCTCCCACCCCTGCTGCCTCGCCGTCCTGTCCTCACCCACCCTCCCGGCCCCGCAGGCAGCGCAGGGACAGCGGCGGTGGCGGCGGCGGCAGCGTGTTCGAGGCTCAGGAGAGCTGGGAGCGGCTGTCGGACGGCGGTAAGAGCAGCGCAGAGGAGCCTGGGGACAGCCCTCCGCTGCGGCACTGTCCCCGGGGCCTCGCGCCACCTTCCGTCTTCGGGGACCAGCCCGACCTCACCTGCCTGATCGACACCAACTTCTCTGTGCGGCCGTGGCTCTCAGAGCCCACTCAGCCTGAGCCCCGGCACCGGGCAGGCTGCGGCCGCGCTCGGGACAACCCGGGCTACGATTTCAGCCGCCTGGTGCAGCGAGCGTACCAGCAGGAGGGGCTTGCCCCCGTCCACGCACAGACCCTGTGCCCTCCCTACCCTGGGCCCACGCTGCCCCAGGCCCCTGAGGACGAGGGGGGCTCTCCCCCCGAGAAGGGCACCCCAGCCCTCGCCTGGGCCCCCAGTGCCGAGGGCTCCTTCTGGAGCCTGGAGCTGCAGGGCAACCTCATCGTGGTGGGCAGGAGCAGCGGCCGGCTGGAGGTC